TGGGGGATTGAACCGCGGTCCCTGTGCTTTGCTTTGCTTAGCTTAGCTTGTTCTAAGTAGGTGCTTTAGACCACTGAGCCATCTCACCAGCCCTTAAATTATTGAAAGATATATATATTGTGCTTGTCAGACAAGCACTTACTCTACTGAGCTATCTCCCTGGCCCTGAAAGAATTTTTTAAAAAATTTAAAAATAATTTCTGGAAATGAATCATGGCAATAATTGTACAACTTGAGTGTACTTAATGCTTCTGATCTGTAGGCTTTACAATGGTAAATTTTATGCCATGTCTGTTTTACCACACAAACAGTTTTTAAAACTTTCAAATAGCTGGACACAATGGTGTATGTCTGTAATTTTAGATATTTAAGAGCCTGAGGAAGGATGATTGTAAGTTTTAGGCTGGCCTGGATAACATAGTGAGGTCTGTCTCAGAAACAAATTTTATGTGTGTGTATGTATGTATTTTTTTTTTTTTTTTTTTTTTTTTTTGGTCTTTTTGAGACAGGGACTCGCAGTGTAGCCCAGGCTAGTCTTGAACTTAAAATGATCATCCTGCCTCAGCCTCTCCAGTGCTGGGATTATAGGCATGCATCACTATGCTTAGCTTTGTGTTGCTTTTTGAGACAGTCTTGCTACTCTCAGGCTGGACTTAAATTCACCATGTATCCCAGGATGCCCTTAAACTTAGAGCTATCCTTCTGCTTTGGCCTCCCCAAGTGCTGGTTTCTTAAGCATATACCGTTATCTGATTTTTGCTATGATATTTGTATCTGTAGGGTTTTTTTTTTTCCTTTTTTGGTGGAACCAGGGATTGATTTTCCCTTACCAGGGAAGCACTTATTCTCTGAGCCATCTACCTGGCCCTTGTATCTATAGTTCTTAATCCTTGAACTTCACACTTACATTTCAGCAGTAGTTATAAAATGATTCTAACTTAGAGACATTTGTCTGAAGAAGAAAATTAAATGTCAGATTATTAGATAATGACTTTTCTTGTTTGGTTTGTAAACTGAGATACCTCTTAAGATAGAGGACCAGGGGCCTGCGAGATGGCTCAGTCGTCTAAAGTGCCTGCTTAGGCAAGTGCCAGGACTGTGGTTTGATCCCTGGTGCCACATGCTGTGCCAGCCCCACTCCCTGGGCAGACTGAGCCTGCCACCAAAAATAATAATAATAATAATTAAAGATAT